CTGCTGAGCGAACCTGGCTTCCAGTAGCTGACGGCTATGAATCGTTAAACGTGGCCAGTCAAAGATCGGCGGTCAGATCGCATTATCAAGTTTACAGAACGCTGACTAATCTACGTATCAGGCCTGCGTTTAGACTTGGGAGATATGAATCGTTGTCACTGAACAACGATGTGTTTGCTTTCAAAAGGTACGTATCTGATTTATTTTTGGTTTAATTGGTCGACGAGCTCACGGCCTACTTGGTACTAAGTGGTTACTGGAGCTCATATATATCAACAACGTCAAAGCCGTCACCTATTTTCAGGCATGAGTTAATCTCAGTCCTATAATACAATGGCCACCCTACCCTTCAAACCGAAACGCATTACTGCTTCGCAGTAGAAACAGGCAGGGTGGTGCAAATTACCTACGCCTACTCACAAAACGCCTTACCACCAGAATGATGTAATAGGCTAAATTACTAAATATAATTCTCTCAAAAGACGAGGACTGAAGCAGAGTTTTGTTATACCCTTAAAGTGAATGTTTTTGAAATGTTATCAAACTGTGAATTTCATAGAATCATTAAAATTTTAATGATCCCCTCGCAAAAGAACCCATCAAAGGAAGCCACAGGATCTAATGATATTTTCATAATACGAGAATACGTATTCAATTACCTTTATCAACGTGCGTCGATCCCAACTCACTCGAAAAAACTAAGTAGGGTACTTAGTAGGACCTAACGTATGTTTAGACAGGTCTGTGCCACCCTACCTTTATATTATACGGTATTTATGTAGCGATTATATAAAAATCTATATAAAGATATACAAGACATTTGTGGTAATTATGAAATATTAAGATACGGTAACTACATTTGATTTTTTAACAAAACCATTTTAATATTCTGATATTGAACTGAATTGAACGTTTGGTTTTAACAAAAATCTGTATTTGGATGTTTCTCGATTATTGCGAATCGAAAGATAAAATGCAAAGCGATCTGAGCACTACGGTATAGATACAACGGTATTATCTCATGAATACACGAACCAAGGAATTTAAAATTCTATTCCAGATGGTACAACGATGATACGTATATCATCGTTATGAACGTTGGAAAGCGTGATCGAGTAGTCAATTTGACGGCTTTCGATCTTGTATTTGGACAATTGGAAGTTGAGGCCAGCAGCGTTTTGTCTTCAAGGACCTACAGGTATTCAAATATCCATGTTTGAATTTGATACGTTCTAAACGTTATCTTTTTAATGTATCTCAGTCTCAGTTCAGGCATTTTGTGATATGTATATATTTTCGTACAGCTTTTTTTAAGCTATTGCATAGCTTTTATCGCGGGCTTTGAGCGCAGCGACCGAATCAAGAAATTCCGTAACGAAAATATAACCTAACACCCCCACTCCGCCTACCATGTAGCTCGCGTTCAACACATTCACACGTTGTGCTTGTGTAGTGTTTGTGAATAAGCGCGCGGCGTGACGTCGCACTGCTTGCGCATTATGAAAAGCCCATCTCTCTCTCGCGCGGTCTAGCTTATGAGTGTAAAGGTTACTTTAAAGTTAATGTTTTGCTTTTGTTAATGTTTATAAATATAGCGTGGTCTTATTTTATTATTGTTTTAATATTAAATTATTATTGTCTAATTATAATTGCATAACTTGATAAAAAATGCTGTGCAATAGCTTTACCGCGGCAGTCCCCGAGCGCCACACTTGTTTTTTTTATTGCCCTTGTAGATAGACGAGCATACGGTCCACCTGATGGTGAGTGGTTATCGTCGTCCACGGACTTCAGCAATGCCAAGGGCAGAGCGAAGCCGCTGCCTACCTGCTCTATTCAACTATTTATAAAGCTTTGAATAATGAGCGAAATGTAAGAGCAGTGAATTTTTTTTCAGCGACAACGTTCAAGCAAACCGTTTGGATTTGGCGGTCGACGAAGCTTTAGTTTTAAGGATGCAGGTTTAAGTCTTTAAAAAAAATATCTATTGTCATCACCTAATAATGTTAGCTATTTTAATTCTGATTGTTTTACTTTTTCTTGATTCAAAATAAATTTCTCTTTTATACAAAGAGTGTTTACATTACAGTGTTACAGTAGTTGATAGAAGAATATGTGCCTTTCGGTCGTCCGAGTCGACTTTCCAGAACACGGGTGAACCATTTTAATCACGTTGAGCTCTCGGCCCATCTGATCTTAAGTGGTTACTAGAGCTGACAGGTATCCCAACGCGAATGCCGTCGCCAGCGTGAACTATCTATCGCGTGCCTTCTTTTGTGTTTGTAGATTTTATGTCATTCGATCCGATTGAATGCTCTCCATTTTCGCAACGCTATGGTTTGTTTATTTTCAAATAATATTTTTAAAGAACCCTAAATGATAGGAAGCGTCCTATTTGTGACATAAGGCTGCGTCGTCGTCGGTCATAGTAAAAAAAAAAAACAAAAATAAATACATGCAGCATGGCTTGCCATCAAGACCTATCCTACCTATCCTAAAGACCATGAACCTTTGTATAGTTTTCGATCCGTTATCAATATTGCGGGCTCTAAATAGGACATTTAATTTTTTACTATCATGTTTTCGGTTTTCATAAAGAAACAAATTTCCAATTCCTTTTAAAATTTAAGACACACATTCCGTTTGGGTATCTAATTGATTTCAGTTTCATAAAGTAGAACGCGTTAAGAAAATCACATAATCCTGTATACAAATAATAAACAAATTTAATAAAATAAAAAAATGCTAACAAATTTACAATATACTATTTTGCCCATAAAGCCAATTTCTGAATTTGAGTGGCCCAAAAGAGTCATTCAACATGGTGTGACTGCATGTTGGTCTAGCGAGTTTACTATACTGCTTACATCTTAAGAGATTTTTAGTTTATTTACCATGGATTATTTAGTCGCCGAAAGTATCAGCAAAGATTATAGGGTTAAGTTAACATTAAACCTAAATCAACGAAACCTGGACTAACGTTATCGCTTAGAGGTAATAAAAATAATAATTAAATAGTCAACTTTAGCTGGTTAAAATACTAATACATCTCTGTGCCTTGCGACCTTAGTTTATGCGTGATTAAAAATTCAATTAAGTCTAAGTTTGCGTTGTAAAGTTTTATTTATTTAATTTTTGGAACGAAGTTCCTTACGGCAGGCTTGGAGGGGATAGGGATTTTGTTGCGCGACCGAACTGAAAAAAATGTGATAGTAAAACCGTAAGAAAAAATTCGTGGAAAAAAGTGCGTGGAATAAAACCGTTAAATGAGACGTGCGCAGGCGCGACAGTCGCATACACAAGCGAGTAGTGTATAATATCTTTCTCTTTCTCCCTCTTTCTTTTCGTTCTCTCATCCATTCTCTTTCTATTATTATTTCTATTTTTCTATTTCTATGTAATTTTATGTTGTTTATGTTGTCTACCTGGAGTCCCACGACACCACATAATTATTTTCCCTACCTATGCTGATGCTTTGAGAGGCTATTTCAGTTTCACCCCAGCCACAAGCCTAGCCTGGTTTCACAAAACCAGACTTAATTACCGAAAAACTAGAGCACTAAATAAAACAGGACTTATATGCATTGAATGTTATTAATATAAGTTATAACTACCGCTCGCATTAATTACAGAAGTTTACTTCTACAACGGGCCACTAAATTAAATACCTTAGACCCCTAGCAAATTACCAATAGTCTGTAACAAGCACTGTATATTACACACTTTATCTTGTTTATATTGATCCGTTGTTATCGCTTTTACAACAAACATATTATTGTATAGATACTTTGAGCGTAAGTCCGTGTCAGCTATTGATGTCGGATTTCCGCAAGCGGTGTGAACTCTAAGCGGATTAGTGACACTAAGATGCCATACAAAGCAATCCTCTCCTTCTGTTTGAATCACAATCGTTTTTTTTCAAATTCAGCTATTTACCTCATGTTTCCAATAATGTTTCGGGGTACTAGTGGAAATTTTATCGGGCTATAGAACTCGATAATTGAATAAGGTTAAAACTAAATATCGAATATTATCAAGATAAATTGCGATTTTATGTACCCGTTGTATTTTCTGAGTTCTGGAGAGAAGTACGCGGAAGAGTGTTGAATCCATTAAGCAGCACAATTCTCGATTTGATATCTCAGGGCAGGGGACGACACGTTGTGCNGGGGTACTAATGGAAATTTTATCGGGCTATAGAACTCGATAATTGAATAAGGTTAAAACTAAATATCGAATATTATCAAGATAAATTGCGATTTTATGTACCCGTTGTATTTTCTGAGTTCTGGAGAGAAGTACGCGGAAGAGTGTTGAATCCATTAAGCAGCACAATTCTCGATTTGATATCTCAGGGCAGGGGACGACACGTTGTGCTATATATGGGCTACAGTAACCAATTAATATAATTCATACCATGGGTCATCATTAAAGCATATGACATTTTTTGAAAGTCCATTGCCGTAATAATTGTATTTATGAATATTTCTTTTTCATGTAATTATGCCATGCTTCATAGTAGAATTTCTAGCCAAAGTACACGTACACAGTTAAAAACTCCGTTATCGCGCCCTTCATCTGTTATCGTTATCCAACCACTTGGCTTTTGGCAGAATTATCAAAGAGATTCCACTTGTCATTCGACAAAGTTGATGGCCAAACATTATTTTTTGTTGTTTTCTCTCCTGTTTTCCCGTGTATGTAGTATGTACTAGGTAAGGGAATATTGTGAGCCCTACCACAAATCAGTTAATATTTGTATGTGCGTCTGTAGATTACCTCTTTGAACAGAGGGATATCTATTGGATGGACCGAAAATACCTATATTTAGCTATATATCTATCTATAGCTTTGGTAAGTGTGAAACTTCCGCTGGAGATATCTTATACTAAACGGCAGTAAAAATAATAATAACAATATAAAACCACTTCACTTTGCTATTTGGCAGTAGTGTATAGCAACGAATCTCTTATCTATAGAAACATCAATAATATCTTAAATCTACTGTTGTTAGATTTCCCAAAATAAAAATAAAAACTCTTGATGATACAAAATGACACAAATACAAAACATCTTATCACACCACTTGGGGTGTATCAGTTTGATAAGAGATACTGACTGTTATAAAAAGGATCTTCTAAATAAATCGTATGTATGTTTTTTTGGTCACTCAATTGCTTGCGTTAGAGTACCAGATTTATATTGTTAACAACAATGAAGACAGTGTGTTTGCTGTCTTTGCTTTTCATTGCATGTAGTGGGATCATTATAAAGAATGGAGAAGTTCAAGATTGGTGGGAGACTTCAATTTTATACCAGATCTACCCAAGGTCTTTTGCTGATAGCGACGGCGATGGTATTGGCGATTTGAATGGTTTGTTATGATTGTATTTTATTGTATAATAACTAAACGTTATATTAAATATTGTATGTAAATTATTAAACATCAAAATTAAACTTTATTGAATACAAAAATGTATACCAGTTACAAATATTAAAAGCATCTTAAAGTTGATTTAATAATTATTGCTATTGCTCCTTGTGTCTAATGAAGGCCTTTCTTTAAGTTTTGTTTTTATTTTTTTACGACCTGCAGGTATTACTTCAAAATTGGAATATATCAAAGAATTAGGTGTAGGAGCTGTTTGGCTTTCGCCGATTTTCAAATCGCCCATGGTTGATTTTGGCTACGACATTGCTAATTTTTATGAAATCCACCATGAATATGGTACGATGGAAGATTTCGAAGCTCTATTGAAAAAGGCGAATGAATTAGGTGAGTTTACAAGAAAAAAATACAAAAAATCATTATTTTCTTAAATTCAATGATATATCAATGACTACGCTGACAGGATGCATAGTGACCGAATCGTCCGAAACTTCAACGCAACGAAAGCTGAAAAAATTCGTTAAGTACATATTGGTTTTATTTCAGACATCAAAGTTGTTTTGGATCTTGTACCAAATCATACATCAAACGAAAGTGTTTGGTTCCAAGAAGCTCTCAATGGCAACGAAAAATATTACAATTATTTCGTTTGGGAAGACGGAATCATAGACGAAAATGGAAATAGGCAGCCACCGAATAATTGGGTACGTAGAAGGAAAAAAATACACAAAAATGGAACAACCTTCTTCAATTTGCAATGTTCTGCTGTTACTAAATTCAATTATCATTCTAGGTTTCCAATCCTATAAATTTTTTTGTGTATATTTACTAATTTTATAAACGCTTTAATGGGTCAAACTATGTATAAAAAAACCAAGGAGGCTAATCCATTTCGGACTTTCTATTCTCTTGTCTCATCATGTATCTACCTATACATATGTATTAAGTAATGATGATTGGTATGTACCTAAAGGATAGTGGATACTGAGCTCATTAAGTTTAGTCTCATTCGGATAACGATAATTTAAAGAACCCAGTTTCGGTTTATTATAACTATATATGACTTAAACTATGTACTGCTATGCTATTATTAGTAATTCTAATGCTGCATTGGCTATGGGTTTTCCTCACCTTATGTTTATATGTTGATAAATAAGCGTTATAGTTAAAAAAATAAAAGAACATGATTTATAAAATAACTCTCTCATGTTAAACATTTCATTACAAAAATTGCCTTAGCTGGACTCACATAGTTACTGACTCGTTCAAAAATCTTTTGATATTTTATTTTGTTTTATTTTTTAACTTAATTTTGTCAATGTTTTCTTATGCTTGTCATTTCATGTAAGCAATGGTTGATAATATTTAAGATAGTTCAGAAAAGAAAATGTTAGTAAGCTAAAGATATGTATACACAAGTTTTTTTCACTATATGTATGTCTTTGTGTTACAGTTGAGTCACTTTAGAGGCAGCGCTTGGGAATACAAAGAAGAAGTCGGAAAATATTACTTACATCAATTCGCTGTTGGACAGCCAGACTTGAACTACCGCAATCAAGATGTCGTAGATGAAATGAAAGTAAGATTTAATTTAAGAAATTCCATTATTCCCCATACGTTACGAGTAAAAGTTATCAGAATCTAAGATGTTATTTTAGTAGTAGTATCTCCAAGTTACTTTGAAAAAGAAAAAAAAAATTGTTGTTAGACCCCTCGGTTCACAGCGAGAGGTAATTGATTCGGAAAATGTTTCATAAAATGAATTCTATATTTTGCGCGTAATGTTAAAACAAACACAACAGTGATGGCAAAAAATAATGATGTCAGATCTTGTATGCGTGAAATTGTATTTATTTTTATTTGTTACGTCGTTTTTCTTAATTGTATGTCCTATTACTGTTCTAGTAATACAACTTGTAATTATTTATATTGTAATAATATAATAGTCACAGGTGAGCAAATCTTTGTGGAGTACTTAATATTATATGAGAGGTCTAAATTGTACAGTGGAAACGCGGCTTAATATAATGGTAACATTTTTTAGAACATAATCCGGTTCTGGCTTGGAAAAGGTATTGCCGGATTCAGGGTAGATGCCGTGAATTGTCTCTACGAAGCCGACAAGAATCTGTATGGTGGAAAGTACCCTGATGAACCCTTATCTGGTAGACTGGATGTTGACTCAGAATCCCATGATTACCTGCAACATATTCACACCAAGGACCACAACGACACTTACTATATGGTTTACCAATGGAGAGATGTCTTCGATGAGTTCAAGGCGATCGATGGGCTGACTAGAGCTATGATGACCGAAGTATATGCATCGATCCAAGATGTGGTTAGGTATTTCGGTGAAGGAGATTTAAAAGGAGCACAGATTCCGTTTAATTTCGATTTGATCACTGACGTTGATGCCAGTTCATCAGCTGCTGATATAAAAAGAGCCGTTGATAAGTTCTTAACTTATAAACCAGTCGACCAAACAGCTAATTGGGTGGTACGTATTCTATTAAAAATGCTGTACTATTTAAAAAGGTAGATTGTTTTAAGAACGTTTTTTTAAGGTTGGGAATCACGACAATAGCCGAATGGCTACAAGATATGGTGCTTCATTGGTAGATGGTATCAACATGCTAGTATTACTTCTTCCGGGAGTAGCAGTTACGTATATGGTAAGCTACGTTTTATTCCTATTAATAAATTCACAAAAAGAAAAGTATCATTACTAGTTGGCAATTATAATAGATCATGTTTAATAAATTTTGTTACAATATTTGCGAATGCTGCTTTTATGTCGACCAAGCAGCTTTTAGCAGCATAGTCTAATAAAACCAGATTGACTTAAAATTACAAATATATATGTATATTTTAGGGAGAAGAAATTGGACTGGAAGACGGCTATGTTAGCTGGGAAGACACAGTTGACCCATCTGGATGTAATACCAACGACCCAATAAAATATGTCGAATCGTCGAGAGATCCCGAAAGGACTCCTTTCCATTGGAACCCCGAGAAAAACGCTGGTAAGACATTATTTTAATTAAAATAAACTAAAGTTATTTATAGAAACCGCCGGTTATTTTGTAAAACTGTACGCAATTTGTAAATATGGTTTGGAGAACCACCAATGGTTTATCCACCAAGTTTTTATTATGACCGGATGGAAAGCGCTTAAGGCCCTAGTGTCAAGTGGTTTCTAAAATATATTGCTACTATAAAATCAGTACAGTCTAAATTACGACATAAAAAGCAAGCGGCGGTGTCGAGTACACTGACTTCTAACAAAGAACGAGTCTGGTTTTCCACGTAATAATATAATTCAACTGATATATTCTTTACTGTTTTAGGATTTTCTACCGCTGACAAGACCTGGTTGCCGATGGCCGAGGGCTATGAAACTTTGAACGTTGAAGTTCAGAAGGCTTCAGAAAGGTCCCATCTTAAAGTTTACAAGGCTTTGTCAGATTTACGTCAAGAAAACACATTCAGATACGGCCGTTATGAGTCTTTAGCTTTAAATCAGGATATTTTTGTATTTAAAAGGTAACCTTATCTATCGTTCAATTGATTTTCAAAAGATATAACTTTAATTATGAATACTATATCCATGATTTGTTTTACCGTCTATTTGCGCATCCATTTGTCGGTGTAATATGTGACTTATTAATTTATTGTTTTGTTGTATTTCACTTCTGCTCAGCTGTTGTCAACATTATGCTGAACGGATAATTGACACACAAAAAAGCAGTTTGGTAAATTTAAAAAGTAATAAACATGTAAAATGCTTTACTTTCGCCATCACCAACAGAATTTTCAGTTTATAATATATTTGTCCTAAATTATTGCCCTGTAAAGTAAATTGTATAATAATAGTACATTATCACGAAAATTACCGTTCGGAACGTACGGTTATCGTGAATTTAATTCGTGTTAACTTTGCGCTTAATAATATTTTTTTTGTTCGTACAGATGGCTTAACGACGTCATTTATCTAGTGGTTGTGAATATGCGAGACGTGGAACATAACATTGATCTTACATACTTCGAAAATGTTTCTGGGAACGTTGCCGTGTCGATAAGGAGCGTTAACTCACCTAAAAATGAGGGGTGAGTAAAAAATACATCCTGCACCATGAAGTGTAGATACATGTGGCCAAAATAGGGATAAGATTTGCAATATACCGCAGTATCTTAAAGATTGCACTACGTCTAATAGTTGTTAGTCCCCGTATTGCTACTCCCCGTATCCTGATCACGCAGGAGCCAGTCACCGTTGACGCCCTAGACATGTATTTACGGATCCATCAGATCCAATAACCCTTGCATCAGACGCCTTTAGCTCTAACACTAGGAGCAGGCTTAGGGACCCCGGTAACCGTACTCGTCCAGCTCGGCAAAGAGTTTGACGTGCAACCTAACCTAAACATCAATCCACTAAGTTTCTCGCCGGATCTTCTCAGCGGGTCGCGATTCCGATCCGGTAGTAGATTCATTCGCGAAGCAGCTACACTTTAGTTGTTGGGTCTCCTTTGGGGGCTCTCGGGTAGCTGTTAGCAAATCCCTTTCTGGCTGAGCCTTTGCTCGCCAATCTGCCCTAGTGAAATTGGAAAGGCCTCCGGGCCACCAACAATCTCTCAATCGTAATTGTTACAATTTATTTCTCACAATTCAATCATAGCTATGAGTACCAATATTATTTATTATTCATCTTCATCAAGGCAATTGTTCTTGATAAAATACATAAGACAAGATACAGCTAATAAATAAATGTAATATAATGTATGTATAAATTATAATAAATATATATTACGTTAAATGATGAATTGTAATTCGTTTATGTACAATGTTCGTATATGTAAAATATTTCTTTGTGTTCAATTTATGTATGATTGATGAAGGTTATCATCATAATGGCGTATCGTTTTTACAGGGATACATTCGACGCGAAATCTCTACCCGTTGTCGGATTCGAAGGACTCGTCTTGAAGGTTGTTTAGGTTATCAAATAAATCATTCGTGAATTATTATACATAATTTTGTTTTATTTTAATCTATATTTAGTAAATACCAGGATAATTTCTGACTAACTTAGTGGTGCAATAATTAGCGTCCCTTACTGTTGCGCAAAGGGTTGTGGGTTCGATCCCACATCGAGTAAACATTCGTGTGATGAACAGGTTTGTTCATTATATGGATGTTTATTATCTATATAAGTTTATTTATTTATTTTTATTGCTTAGATGGATGGACGAGCTCACAGCCCACCTGGTGTTAAGTGGTTACTGGTACACATCTACAACGTAAATGCACCATCCACCTTGAGATATAAGTTCTAAGGTCTCAGTATAGTTACAACGGCTGCCCCACCCTTCAAACCGAAACGCATTACTGCTTCACGGCTGAAATATGCAAGGTACTGGTACCTACCCTTGCGGACCCACAAGAGGTCCTATCATTAGTAAAAAATATGTATGTTTATATTTAAACGTGTATAAGTATGGATGTCAGTCTCTAGTTTCCATTACACATGGAATCCTAATTTGGGACTGGAAGACCGTGCGTGATTTGTTCTTAGTTATTTATTATTTATTTATTTATTATTGTTCCATTTAATTTTACCTGCCAAATAAGATGTTCTTTACCTTTGAAGTTAGAACTTTTTTTTAAACTAGAATGGTCTATATAGTTAATAAGTGGTAGCTGATGCTCATTGACATTACTAATGCCATGGGCACAGTTGAGCCGTTACCTACGGCTTGGGTCTCATTTCGGAACTAGTTGAAAGAAAGTCATAACATATGGTTTGAGAAACATCGAACGATATTATAAATATTACACTTGAACTAAAAGAAAATCGACAATATGAGATCTCAAAAATATTTGCTCTATTCATTTTATTTCCGCTGCGTATTTATTTTTGTGTGATTATACGCACGCAATATAATAAATGTAATGTATGTGAATGACGATATGAGAGATACAGGAGTGAATGTTGAGATGACGGCTGATAGAGAAGAAGAAGATACTAAATTTAAACTAAATTTATATGAAATCGAAATCTGGGGTCCAGTTTTTTTATCAGGCCTCAGAAATTATGTAACAACTATGATACTTAACAGTTTTTGTAATAGTGGTAAAAAAACGGCTTACTCTGTACGTTTGACATTTAGCAATTTAGTTTTATTTTTTATTATACTATATTATTATTATTATTTTAAACATGGAAATCTATTTTCAAATTTAGTCATTTTTTTATTGATCAGTGCCTCTTTTCTCTGTATCAGTTTCATTAATGTGAACATGATAAAATACAAAAAAATAGGGAATACAAGTTCTGTTGCCGTAGTAATGCCGCACAAATAGCTCTCAACATTAATGACGTGTGACTCAGTGAACCCTAGAAATGTTTTTTTTTTCCTAACTAAGCTGAGAGCCTTGAGAGGCTATATCAGCGTAGCCTTAACTAGTAGGTCAGCTCACGGGGCTCAAACCTGATGATGTTGCTAACACGAACCCTAGCAAGAGCCGTGCTTCGCAGAATCTACCACGGGATCGGAAACGCGACCTACTGAGAAGATCCGGCGAGAAACTCAGTGTGCTGTGTCTGGGGTTAATTTACTCGTCGAGCCCTTCGTCGCAAGCAACGGGTTCGACGAGGACGATGACCGGAATGCTAGAATTGAACACACGACTCGTTATTGGTTTGAACGCTTCCGATATGGATATTTTCATGTTTAAAATGAACTCCGTGGTCGTCTGAGAACTAAAGTCCACAATGACGAATTAAAGACGATGATGGAAGCTGACGATACTCAATCTACCGCTGAGTTAGCAGCAGCTTTGAGCGTTAGCATCAAAACAATATTGGTCCATTTGCGTCAAATTAGCAAAGTAAATAAAGAATAGTTTAAAAAACTAACAAAATACGCTTTTATAGAAAAGCACCCCACACTTTTTTAAATAAAATCATTTTTTCTTACACTATTTTTAATTCAAATTTATTAAAATTTATTTTCTATTTTTTAGTTGGACTTTCTATAAAAGCGTATTCTGTTAGTTTTTTTAAACTATTATTTATTTTTCATTTTTTAGTTGAATTTAAATTTTTTCAACACTTTTTTTTCAATTTTTTTTTTTAGTTTTGAATTGTCATTGGTCCTTAATAAGTATACCAAATTTCGAGTTAATCCGACGTTTTGAAGGGGGTCAAAATAATGTTCAAAGATTCCGTTACAAACATACATACATAAATACGCCTGAAGCTAATAAAAGCGTATTAAAAAGGTAGAAGATCTTGATACGTTGGTGCGGTATGAACTGAACGATCGCCAGCGCGATGAACACATTGAGGTTTGCCTCGCTTTGCTGAACAGACACGGAAACGAATGTATTTTAAGCCACACTGTCTCACTTACGATGAAAATTGATTGTTTTTGATAGCAGTAAGGGGTCATTATATTGGTTAGACCTTGGTTCAGCACCTAGGCATTGCCTCAAAACTTACACCAACTTCCCCCTAAAAAGGTTATAGTCACTGTTTGATAATCTAGCCTCGGTATAATTCATCATAGCTTCTTAACAAATGGCACCAGCATTACCGGGGATATGTACTGTACTATAAGGAACTGGTTCACAATGATGGAGAAGCTTGTGAATTTTCGACCAGCCTTGGTTAACCGCTTGTCATCGCTGCTCTAACAGGACAATGCTCGAACTCCTACGGCATAGCAAACGATCTCTAATCTATAAGAGAGTGGACGAGTGGTTTTATAAGTGGTTAGAATTTTGCGTCATCCACCGTAGCCATTAGACTATGCTCCGATAGTCTCCTACTTTATCCAAATTTGGACAACTTCTTGGCAGGGAAATCAATATCCGACAGGCGGTACAAACTATCTTTGAAGAGTTGTTGACTCTCGTACACCAAACTTCTTCAGGAAGGACATTGTAAATTGTCATTCAGCTGGCAGAGATGCACCCATACCATAGGCGTATATGTTGAATATTGGAAATAAAAATATTTATAAAGAAATAATGACTTTAAATTCCTTTCTTTATTTTAAATACTAAAGAGCAATTTTGCAGGTAAACACCCTAAAAAATAATTAATAATTATACAATTTCCGTAGGCTGATGAAAAAGAAAATTAACATCATAGATAGATCACAGTTCGAACTAACGCTTTTTAACAATTCTGTTCGGCTGCCTAACACGCACGGCCTTAGATATGGTGAAGTTACTCAGCACTCAACAGGATGTCAATTATCCCCATACGTTAATCTGCCGCCCAAAATCTCCTGCTAAGCAGAAGTGTTGCGGTTTCGTCATGACCCACTAAAGAGAAAAAAATTGCATCCGTCAAAAATTCTAAGACATCGCTGAAATAATCATTAAGAGTTTTTATTAAACAACGTTTATATCCAGGCAGTATTTACGTTTTGGTTTCGTCAGGTTNACTCAACAGGATGTCAATTATCCCCATACGTTAATCTGCCGCCCAAAATCTCCTGCTAAGCAGAAGTGTTGCGGTTTCGTCATGACCCACTAAAGAGAAAAAAATTGCATCCGTCAAAAATTCTAAGACATCGCTGAAATAATCATTAAGAGTTTTTATTAAACAACGTTTATATCCAGGCAGTATTTACGTTTTGGTTTCGTCAGGTTTAACGACTATTATAATCGACTGCTAATCCATTGAACTGATCCTTTAATATTCTATGATATATATATTTACTTAAATTCCTTTTTCATCAATTATCGCATCTAGATAAATTGTCAAATTCGAGAGCATGATTATTTTAAAATCAATCGAGCGAGTTCGAAGCTCAGTGATTGGTCGGTAGATAACCTTGGATCAGTTACAAAGTGATAATGCAGATACTTAGAACAAACACTTGTCCAAGATGAATTTATCATGTCAATTTATCATTAGTTTTAACGCGTACTGTACGTATATAAGCCGAGAAACAAGCATTATTTTATTAGCATACGTCGTCAATATGAGGTAAGTGAAACTTCAATTAGAAGTAGATTATTTTTCTAATCCAATATATTCTAGTCTTCATATTCGTTGTTTTCATTCAGTACTAATTATGGAATACAAAATATGTACACACAAAAAAGTCGTTTAGTGGTTTCTGTTGCTAACTTGCTAAGAAGGCTCATCTGATGTTCAGTGGAGATGAAACGTGGAAGTCACTACCCATTTTGAGATCCAAGATGGCAGTTTTATTCCCAAAACTTTAGCGATTAAACTAATCATTATTCGTTAAATCGTTATTGAATTAAATTAAAAGTTGATACTTCTTAAAGACATTTTAGTTCCAAGCTATAACCAACATATTTTGTTTTGGCTAGTAGTATTATTCTACTTTTATATTAAATCATTTAAATTATTATGATAGATTTTTTATAGGGCTTTCGAGGGATTTTTTATAAATTTTACAAAAATTAATTCCTAATAGATATTGTTAACTTATTCACAAAATAGATTAGATGCACTGATGAAGCGTAGTGTAGTGCATTTTTTGCACTCGGAAGTTGATCTACAAATCATGTAAACCAATACGTATAATGGACAGCTTATTCGTCTTTTACTTATTATGACAAATAAAAAAAATCGTTTTCAGTGCGAAATGGAGAATTGGAATTATTTTACTGCCTGTGCTGGTTTTAGTACAGTGTCAAGTAAAAGAATTAGATTGGTGGGAAAATACCGTTTTCTATCAAATTTACCCTAGGTCTTTCAAAGACAGTGACGGTGATGGTATTGGAGACTTGAATGGTAAGTTCCTATTTTTGTTTTCATTATGAATATTTGTTTCGCGTATATTATTAGGAAATAGTTTCGACCGACTGAGTTTTTCGCTAGATCTTCTCAGTTGGTCGCAATTTTGACCCGGTGATAGATTCACCGAATCTCCCTAGCCTATTCTAGAGCCCTAGCTCGCGCTAGGGCTAGAGTTAGCAAATCCTCCCAGGTGGAGTCCCGTGATTTCACCTACAAACTGGGCGTAGTTGGAGGTTACCTTGTTGGTAGCTTAATGAATAAGTAAGAAAAATCAAAGGTTCGTAGTTTAATACAAATTTCTAGTGGTCACCGAAATTATGCG